GGTCCTAGAAAGCTGGGAAGTTCCCTTGTACCTGTGGCATGGGAGACAGTACATTCTTTCTGCACTTCAATTCCTGCTTCTCTTTTCTCACAATTAGGAGGAGGTTGAGGTTCAGAACACGTGCACTTGAACAAGTGACGATTGTCTGGGGGGATGTTCCTCACTCCTGTCCACCACTCCTTGTGCCCACCATTGCAGATAGCTTAGCTGGTCTCTTTTGTGCTACTGGAGATAAAACCCAGCGCCTTGCATATGCCAGGGCACTTTTCCATTGAGTTACACCCCAGCTTACCTTGTCTAGCCCCTTGACCTAGTAAACTGCAGAGCTCAGACACCTCCTCCCTGTGCATATCCCCCTCTCAGATTTATCTGGGCACCTTCAAGTTCACTGCACACTGTGACAGTTCTCTGACTTAGATCTAATGGTCTGCACTAGTCCCGATAAATAGGTTATTACTTTTACTCATATTTCTGACATTACCTCTTATTGTATAACTCAGGCTAGCCTCCTGCCTCAACCTCCCCAGTGGTAGTATGATAGGTGTCCGCCACCATACCCATCTCTTTTGTGTCTTTTGATGCCCTACATCGAAGTGGTATCCTGATACCTCTTCTTACTCCTCTTCAACTGGTTTCTGCAGTCTTTTCCTGGAGGGATCTTAAAAGTGGGGAGCTGTTACTGGTTGCTGTCCAATCATCACCCTTTGTGTAACCACGGCTTGGGCTTCACTCCTGCTTTCTTACAACCATCCCCTCTTGCTGCCTGAATTGTCTGCCATTCTTTTGCTCCATGTGTCCTGACATACTCTTCCTTTTACACTTTTTCTGTTCCCAGAGCATTTTATTTTTTTCTTTTATTATTTTTTTGACAGGTTCTCATGTGACTCAGGCTAGCCTCAAACTATGCAAGTGAGATAAGCCTTGAACTTCTAATCCTTCTGCCTACATCACCCGAGTTCTAGGATTACAGTCATGTACCTCCACACCCCATTTTGTTTTGTTTTTGTCATTTTGAGACAGGGTCTCCCTGTAGTCCCAGCTGGCCTGGAACTCAGTATGTAGACCAGGCTGGCCTTATCTCACAGAGATCCGCCTGTCTCTGTCTCCTGAGTGATTCCATTAAAGGCATGCATCACCAGTCCTGGCACCTGTGTTTATATGATGCTAGGGCGCTAACCCAGGACTTCATGCATGCTAGATAAGTACTTCCCAACTGAGCAACAGTCTCCACCCCCTCATAGCATTTTACCTATACTTATATGATGTTAATTAAATTCTTGGGGATATTTGCTTTATATGTCTGGCTCCCAGTTCTCACTTGAGTTCCATGAGGGTTTGGATGGCACCAAAATAATTTTGAAGAGCTGGAGGAAGTGGCATATACCTGTAAACCCAGAAATTGGTAGGTGGAGAGAGGAAGAACAGGAGTTCAAGACCAGCCTTGGCTGCATAGTGAGTTCAAGGCCAGCCTGCCCTACATGAGATCCTGTCTCTAAACAAAATAGTTTTCAGTTTTCTGAGTTGCACTGAGCAATACAATGACTCATATCAAGTAGACATATTTGTTCTGTGAATTGAGCTTCAAATAAAATAGCATCTCCAACTCAGTGCCCAGTGCTAGGACTATCATCATGGGTAAGCCCATGCCTGCACTCAAGCACTGGTCATACACTAGTCGTGTACCTCTGGAGCACTCACATAGTCTTATGAAATACATTGAGTAGTTATGTTTTAGCCTTGTGATTGGTCTTGAATTGTAACCCCTTCCTGGACCATAGTTTTAAATTGCGAAATGAGGATAGACTAGGTGACCCAGAAAATTTTAACATTGCCGACTAGATTTACATTTTTCAGTTCCTTGATAACTGGAGTCAGGTCTTTAGATTCTGCTGGAAACTGCCAGTCTGGTGCCTCACACTCAGTGTGATTAGCACAGGCTAAACGAGTTGGTGGTAGGAACACCTCAGACAAATTCAATTTCTATTTTTTTATTCCACTAATTTCATTATGTTCTTTCTCTCTACTTCCAAGTAATTTCTTGACACAGTTTGACCTCAGCTTTTGTGTATAAAAGTAAGTTAAATTAGTTAGTGAGCTCTCAGGATCTTTTTATCCCTCCAGCACTGGGATTACAGGTGCGTGTACCGCACCTGGCTTTTATGTGGGTGCTAGGCATCCAAACTCAGGTCTCCATGCTTACACAGGAAGCACTTTTACCCACTTTTACTCTTTCTGCTTTCTCCCTAGCCGTGTGTGTTTATGTAAGGTTAAGGTTTCTCTTAACCTTGAGAACATGGTGAGGTGATCTTCTTACTCACTTTTTCACCAGGAAGCTAGATATTCAAAGCCACAGGTAAGAAGCAGTAGAGTCAGACTCAGTCCCAGGTCTCCTGACCACAAGTCCAATATCTTTTTTCTGTTTGCTTATTTATAAAAGTAAGGTTTCTTGCACATTTGAGCTCCTGCATTACCTCTGTCTTACCACAGTGTATCGGTAGGGGAATCCTTGGAAACTAAGAAAGCTCTAACTGTAGCAGAATGGAATTTGCAAGATGGAGGAAGAGGTTGAACCCCAACCAGTGAAATAGACAAGTACCAGGCTAGCTCCTGGGGCTGTCCCTTAGACACCAGTTCCAAGTTTTTATTCTCTGCTGAAAGTTGAGTGCAAGGGAAGATCTTTGATGAGTGTGGTTTGAATCTTCTGTGTGCTCTGTGGCTAAGGTTGTGGTTCTCAACTCTCGCATTTTTGTCTTCATAGTTGGCAGTGTCTGGAGACACTTTTGATTATGTCTGGGGAAAACTGCTGCTGGCATTTAGTGGACAGAGACTAGGGACATCACCAAGCAGCGCTCTAAAGAGCACAGGCCAGTCCTAACAGTGAATACTCATCTGGCTCCCAGTACTGGCGTGCTGCAGCTAAGAAACCCTAGTTTAGGACCTGGAGCCTTGAGTGCCACTCTGTACAAGAGAGTCAGGAGGACATTGAAGTCTTCTCACAAAAAAGGAGGGACATGTGAATCAGGAAAAAAAAGAATCATGAACTCAGTAATTTCAGTGACTGTGAAGATGAATCATGTTGGAGTATGAGAGTGCTCAGAAAAAGGGGACATTTGTAAAAGATTTGAGACACTGAAATTTCTTTTTAGACAAGGTCTCAGCTACGTAGCCCTGCCTGGAATAACTCCCTACATAGACCAGGTTGACCTCAAACTCAGAGAGTTCCCCTGCCTCCCTAGTGCTGGGTTTAAAGGGTCGTGCTACCATGCCCAGCTTAAAACATTGAACTTTAAGTTCAAAAAGATGGGGTTTTGTTTTTGTGGAGGAGGTTTGAGATAAGGTCTTACCCTGTAGCCCAGACTGACCTAGAACTCACTATATAGCTCAGGCTGGCCTTGAACTCACAGTAATCCTCCTCCTCCACCTCCTCGGCCTCTTCCACCTCCTCAGCCTCCTCCACCTCCTCGGCCTCTTCCACCTCCTCGGCCTCCTCCACCTCCTCGGCCTCCTCCTCCACCTCCTCGGCCTCCTCCTCCACCTCCTCGGCCTCCTCCTCCACCTCCTCGCCCTCCTCCTCCAGCTCCCCTCCCCGGCCTCCTCCTCCACCTCCCCGGCCTCCTCCTCTACCTCCTCGGCCTCCTCCTCCACCTCCTCAGCCTCTTCCACCTCCTCGCCCTCCTCCTCCACCTCCTCGGCCTCTTCCACCTCCTCGGTCTCCTCCTCCACCTCCTCGGCCTCCTCCTCTACCTCCTCGGCCTCCTCCTCCACCTCCTCGGCTTCCTCCACCTCCTCGCCCTCCTCCTCCACCTCCTTGGCCTCTTCCACCTCCTCGGCCTCCTCCTCCGCCTCCTTGGCCTCCTCATCCGTCTCCTTGGCCTCCTTCTTGGGCTGTTTCAGGGTCTTCTTCTTGCCACCTTCGTGGCCTGATATGGCTCCTGCAGCCCCTTCCCCAGACCCTGATCCTGAAACTTCTAATTTAAAAAGGAATTGAACTTACTCTCTGAGTTATTAAAGTTGAACACAACTGGAACCCACTTTATTAGTTATAGTTAATGTATTTCACAGTCTAATAGATTGTAAGATACTGTTTAGCAGAAAGCCCTTTTACTTTGACGTTCCTCATATGTCTGAGTCTGAGGATGAGGCTGTGGAGTGTGTTCACTTGCTAGACTCACCTTGACACGTCATCAGGCTCTTTGCCTAGACAGTTGGTACTGTTAAATCCAAGTAGAAGAAACTGGCTCGTCCCTTAATTTCCTTCCTGTTAGCTTTTAATTTGGGGTTTTTTGTTGTTGATTTCAGACAGGGTCTTGCTGTAGCCCCAGCTGGTCTGGAGCTCCCAATGTAGACCAGGTTCCATCTCACAAAGATCCACCAGCCTCTGCATCCTGAATGCTGGGATTAAAGATGTGTGTGCCATAAACACCCAGCCTTGATGTAACCTTTTTTTTTTTTTTAATAAATTTTGGCCAGGTGTGGTGGTGCATGCATTTAATCCCAGCACTCAGGAGGCAGAGACAGGCAGATCTCTGAGTTTAAGGCCAGTCTGGTCTGCATAGTGAGTTCCAGGCCAACTGGGGATACAGGGAGACCCTGTCTCAAAAAGACAAAAAAAATAATAAAATAAAATAAAGAAATAAATAAAAATTTAGGGTTGGGAAGGTGGTACACATCTTTAATCCCAGCACTCAGGACCCAGAGGTAGATAGATCTCTCTGAGGTCCAGGCCAGGTCTACCTAGTAAGATTCAGGCTACATGGAGTCCCTGTCTCAAAAAAAAAAAAAAAATTAAGCATTTTTGCTGTACTAGGCCTGTTTTAGTACTCTGAGGAAAACTAGAAATGATTAGAAGCTTTTTGGCCTGTCTGGCAGACACACAGCTTTAGCCTAACTACCACAGGGCCCAACTGTCAGGTCTCCAGTCTGCACGATGAGTGCCATCCTTTCACAGGGGTCTTTGAGCCATGGGCCCTGGGAGTTCCCTCATACCAGTGTTATTTCAGGTAAACCACTGTCTACCAGAGAAGATCGTGGTATACCGAGATGGAGTGTCTGATGGCCAGCTGAAAACGGTTGCCAGCTACGAGATTCCTCAGCTGCAGAAGTGCTTTGAAGCTTTTGAGAATTACCAGCCCAAGATGGTAGTGTTTGTAGTTCAGAAGAAAATCAGCACCAATCTGTACCTTGCTGCTCCAGGTCACTTTGTGACCCCCTCCCCTGGGACCGTGGTTGATCATACCATAACAAGCTGTGAATGGTAAGTGGCAAAACATGGATCTTCAGTTGAAGAATAAGAAGCTGAAGTTACCTGTTGCCTGAATATTGCTGGAGAGCTATGGGTTGGGATTCTCAAGAGATTCTACTGCTGAAAAACAAAGCTTTGGGTGAGATAGAGTTCAGTGGTAGAGTGGTTGCCTAGCATCCTAAAGTCCCTGGGCTCAATCCCCATCAAAACACACAGCCCAGTGTATGTGTATATTTCGTATTAGTGGGGATTGAACCGTGGGCCTCATGCATACTAGACAAGCACTTAACCACTGAGCTGTGTCTACAATCATAAAAAATATTTAATGCAACAAAGCTTTTACCTCTTGGGTATATACTTTTTCCTCTTTCTTTTTGAGACAGGATCTCATATACTCCATACTTGCCTGGAACTTTGTATATAGACCAGGCTGGCTTCAACAGGTCCTTTTCTTAAGCCTCCCCAGCATTGGGATTATAGGCATACACACAGGGTCTTAGCTTACTGGGATTGTAGGCATCAGCTTCCCTCCCCCTGCCTCCCCACGTCCCTAGCTAGCTAGTTAGCTCAGTTGGTTAGAGGGTGGTACTGACATAGCACCCTTCATAATCTTGTCCTTTGCATTTCTTAGCCCTAGGTGAAGGGGCTACAGTGATCTCCGAGATGCCTTCCAGACATCTCATCAATTGGTGCTTTTTCTTTGCCAGGGTGGATTTCTACCTTCTTGCCCATCATGTGAGGCAGGGCTGTGGCATACCTACTCATTATATCTGTGTCCTCAACACTGCAAACCTGAGCCCTGATCATATGCAGAGGTAAGTCTGTCAAAAACTTATTGTTCTCAGCCGGGCGTGGTGGCGCATGCCTTAATCCCAGCACTCAGGAGGGAGAGGCAGGCAGATCTCTGTGAGATCAAGGCCAGCGTGGTCTACATAGCGAGTTCCAGGTCAGCTGGGGCTACAGGGGGACCCTGTCTCAAAAAGACAAAAAAAAACAAAAAAACTTGTTTGCACTGTCAGTCCTGAGTCCTGCTTAATATCTATGGTGGAGTCACTGTCCCCCAAGATGTCTTACCCCTTTTGTGAAGTGTATGCATGGGTGTCTTTGTCTGTGTGTATGTGTATAGGTGTGGGAGCCAGAGATCAGCTTCAAGTGTCTTAAGGAGCTGTCTACCTTGTTTTTTTGTTTTGTTTTGTTTTGTTTTTGAGACGGTCTCCCTGTAGCCCCAGCTGGCTTGGAACTTTCTATGTAGACCAGGCCTGGCCTCTATCTCACAGAGATCTGTCTGCCTCTGCCTCCTGAATGCTGGGATTGAAGGGGTACGTAAGTTCCAGGCCAGTCCCAGATAAATAGCAAGGCCCTGTCTCAAAAAAGCCAAATGAAATGACTCCAGATGACTGTTGACATGCACCCTTGTCTGTGACACACAGACCCAGTGCCCTTGAATTCAGACTATGTAAACATTGCTGAGGTCTGTGCCCTTTTGGAGCATTTTCTTGTAGACAAAAAAAGACTTTTCCTCTTTGTGTTGTTTTTCTTGTTTTAATAAAAAAAAAAAAAAAAAAAAAAACAGGGAAATGCCTAAAATGAGAGAATTTACCCATCCTTTATAAACAATTCCAGGTAAAAATAATGATTTCAGGACTGGAGAGATGGAGCACTGGTTAGGAGGACCGGATGTTCTTACAGAAGACCCGAGTTTGAATCCCAGTACCCACATGACAGCTAACATCTATAACTCCAGTTCCAGGGGATCTGGCACCCTCTTCTGGCCTCTGCAGGCATTGCATGACACAGATGCACTTACATACAGGCATAACACCCATACACATGAAATAAAAATAATAAAAATATGATTTCCCTCCAGACCTGGTAACTCACAACTATAATATCAACACTTGGGAAGTTGAGGCTGGAAGATGACTGCAGGTTTGAGGCTACGTAGAGTTCCAGGCCAACCTATGCTAAAGGAGTAAAAACTTGTCTCAAAAAGCCACCCAAAGCCAGGCGTGGTGGCACATGCCTTTAATTCCAGCACTTGGGAGGCAGAGGCAGGCAGATCTCTGTGAGTTCAGGGCCAGCCTGGTCTACATAGTAAGTTCCAGGACAGCTGGGGCTACAGGGAGACCCTGCTTCAAAAAGACCAAAAAAAACCAAAAAAACATGAAACCAACAATTCCCCAAAGCAGCATTAGGTATTTCTGAATCCTCCAGTTTCCTGATGGGTATGCTGTGTGTTCTATCCCCAAGAGATTGTAACCTCCGACCCCCTGTGGAGGTGATAAAGATCACATTTTCTTTTTGGTCTATAGGTTGACTTTCAAACTGTGCCACATGTACTGGAATTGGCCTGGTACCATCCGAGTTCCAGCTCCTTGCAAATATGCCCACAAGCTAGCGTTCCTGTCTGGACAGATTTTGCATAATGAACCAGCCATCCAGCTGTGTGAAAACTTGTTCTTCCTGTGACTGGCAGCCTGGACACAGGCTGTCAAGAGAAATTGGACTTCAACTCAGCCAAGACTTACAGAATCAACAGAAATGGAGTTTTGTATTGGCATTTTTCTTTTCTCTAACCTTGTAGTATTAGATTTCTGTTTTTCTTTTAAGCCTGATGTTAGAGTGTGGTGGTACATGCCTGTTATCCCAGCCCTTGGGAGGCTGAGGCAGAAAGATCTTAAGTTCAAACCCAGCCTGGGCTACAGAGTGAGGCCCTATCTCAAAAACCAAACCAAACCCTAAAGTCTAAGTTCCAACAGGAAGTTCCTTGCTGCCTTAGCAGAGCAAACGGTGGTTGGTGTGCTACTACCCTGCAGAGGGGATAAAAGGGGGATGACATTTAGAACCACCAAGGGGCTTGAGGATAGATAACTCAGTGGTAGAGCATGCTCTTACCATGTGAAATGCCCTGAGTCCAGTCCTCAGAACTCCCAAACCCATGAGTAACAGAAACCTGTAGTATCTACAATTACCCCAAAGCTGTGCTTACAGGACAGTCCCATTTATGGTGCCAGAGATGAGAATGAATGAAGTCACTGAAAGTGTCTTCAAGGAGACAATTACTTTACTTGGGCAGCTAGGGAAGGTAAAGAAAGGCCTGTGAAGCATGCTTTTTCAAAGAGAGATGGCTGCTGTTGGCAGATCTGAAAGGCATGTTGTAGAACCAGGTCATGGCGTAGTCAGGCCCCTGAGCATAATCACAGGGAGTGCATCGGGTGATTCTGTGGCTTCCTGAAAGTATAACAGAAGCTTTTTCTGTACTTCTCAGTATGTTTGGTTACTGGCCTGCTGCCCCAACACACACGCATGCACACACACACGTACACACACATACCTTTGCTCTTTGTGACTAATCTTCAGTAATTGATTGGAACATATGGGAAGGATTCAATAGCTAGGAACATCCAGGATGTAGTACAAGCTTTTAATGACCCTTTCTCCCAGCTATCTGGCCCTCATTTCTGTGCTTGTCTGTAAATTAGATTGCTCATTTCTCTTGCACAATAACCTCTTCTGGCTGTGGCCTCACTTTCCTAGGAATTTTTTAGAATCCAGGCTGTTTCCCGAAGGTGACTTGGGAAAATGTGACACTTTCACTTGAGTCTAGACTTTGAGGAAGTTTTCACCACGCCTGTGAATTTCAGTGTTTGGGGGAAGCTTTGGTTTTTCTGTGTGTTTTTTTCCCCTTCGGTTTTAAAATCTTCAAGTTCTGTCAGGTTCAATTTGACTATCTCTTGCTTTGCTGGGTTTTAAAAGCTAATTTTACTTAACTTTTAAAAATTTGTATGTGTTTATGTTTTGGTGTGATGGATAGTAGGGAACAGAGCAGAAATACTTACTTTAAATGACAGGTGTGTGAGAAGAACAACCTGAAACTACTTAAGAGAAACTGGGTCTGGGGGCGGCGCAGTGTTAAGTGCTTTGCCAAGCATATGTTGAAGTCCTAGGTTTTCAGAAGACACCGAGAAAATCTTTAGCTTGTTGCAGCACACAGAAGCCTGGGGAAGGGTGAGTCTTGGGGTCAAGTGCACTCCTGGTTTTATTTGGAGTCCATAGCCAAGGCTAGGCTGAGACCTGGAGTTTAAAAGCTACAGAATTGAGCAGACCCGAAACACTGTTCTTTGGCTGAACAAATTCCATTTTCAGGTTTTCTTGGAAGCATTTTGAATTTCTCGTTTGGAATTCTGACACTTTCTCTTCTTAGTACCTGGAGCTCTTACTGATAATGCTGGGATGTCTGTTCTCGTTCTTGGTGTTCTTGCTTTGCAGTTTCTGTGTGAGACAGTTGGGTCCTGTGTTTGCAAATAAAAACAGATTTCTATATGCAATTGTGTCTGAAAGAGTAAGATTTATTTATTCTTTTTTTTAAATTACTTATTTTATGCACATGAGTGTTTTGCCTGCATGTATGTAAGTATACCCACGCATGCAATGCCCATGGAGGCCAGAAGAGGGTGGATCCCTTGGCGTTATGGACAGTTGTTAGCTGTCACATGGGTCCTGGGAGCTGATCCCAGGGCCTCTGCAAGATCTCATTGTATAAGCCCTGGCTGGCCTGGAACTTGCTTTGTAGACCAGGTTGGCCTCAAACTCACAGAGATCCTCTTGCCTCTGCCTCTCAGATGCTGAGATTAAAGGTGTGCACCACCACCTCCAGCCAAGACTTATTTATTAAATTGATATATTTTCCTTCAGAGAGATGAAAAAATTAGTCATCTATTCCTTTACATGTAAGGTGTAGCACCGTGGTAGTAGCCAGGAAATTTTACCTTGAACAAGTGGAAGACTTACTAGATAGGTAAGGTACTTATGTTTTGTTTTTGAGTATGTGATTGAATTTTTTTGTGTGTGTGTATGTGATCGAATTGGTTTTTTTCCGGTCTTTCTGAGACAGGGTCTCCCTGTAGCCCCAGCTGGCCTGGATCTCGCCATGTAGACCAGGCTGGCCTTGAATACACAGAGATTTGCCTGCCTCTGCCTGGGATTAAAGGTGTGCTTGAATTGTTTTTAGGTCTCTCTTCCTAACAGTTTCTGTTTGCTCAAGAGAGAGCCAGTATGCTCACTTCCAAGAGCATTTCTTTTTAAAACTATGTTTATTTATTGTGCATGGGCAGAAAGGGGCACATGTGCCACAGTGCCTATGTGGAGGGTTAGAGAACATCTTGTAGGAGTTGCAATATGGGTCCTGGGGGTTGAGCTCAGTGGGTTACACTGAGCCATCTTGCCAGCCCTTCCTGGAACTCACTATGTAGACCAGGCTTGCCTTGAACTCACAGAGATCCACTTGCCTCTGCCTCCCGAGTGCTGGGATTAAAGGCGTGCGCCACCATGTCCAGCTTAAATTTTTGTTCTTTAAGGTGATTCAGGTCTGAAATCCTAGCACTTGGGAGGCAGAGGCAGGAAGATCAGAAGCTTAGGATCATCTTTGGCTGTCTACTAGAGTTTGAGGCCAACTACAGACATGTGACCTTGTCTCAAAAAATAGTGCCAGGCATGCGTCACCACACCCGGCATATAGAACATCTTAATCATCTTTATACCCCGTTCCCCATTGGTCCCCTCCCATAGCCCCCACCGCCACCACCGGAATTCATACATTTTCTCATTTGTGCTAAGGCCTGTCGTCAAGTGTGTGTCCCCAGACATCCCTCAGTGCAAGTTTATCTACTGAGGTCTAGTCAGCCTATCTAGAATCCCTTTAAGAAAATCACCTGTTTATCACCCAGCAGTAATCAGCTGCCAATAATTCTTCAACTAAGATTGGGGCCTGCTGTCCATTTCTACAGTTCTGTGCTGGGTTTTTGTCTGCTTGAAGCTAGATCCTTTTTTAAAAAAATTTATTTTTTTTATGTATATGAGTGTATTGCCTACATGTATGTAAGTGCACCCATGTCATGTGATGCCTGTGAAGTTCAGAAAACAGCATCCTGGAATTGGAGTTACAGATGGTTGTTAGCCACCATGTGACCTGGGAATTGAACCCAGGTCCTCTGCCCGAGCCAGTGCTCTTAACCCCTAGATCTTCATCACTTCGACTCCTTTTTTTTTTTTTTTGGTCTTTTTGAGACAGGGTCTCCCTGTACTCCCTGTAGCCCCAGCTGTCCAGGAACTCACTATGTAGATCAGGATAGTCTTGAACTCACAGAGATATGCCTGCCTTTACCTCCACCTCCAGAGTGCTGGGACTAAAGGCATACACCACCATACCCGGTTCCTAGAGCCTTTTCTTAAGATTTATTTTATGTGTATATGTGTAACTGTATTAAGTATATGCCACGTGTGTGGGTGTCTCTGGAAGCCAGAAGAGGGTGTCAGATGCTTTGGGGCTTGACTTACAGGTGGTTGTGAGCTATCTGGTGTGGTAGACACCATTCTTGTCTTTTTTGAGACAGGGCCTCCCTGTAGCCCCAGGAGGCCTGGAACTCACTCTGTAGACCAGGCTGGCCTCAAATTCATAGAGCTCCACTAGCCTCTGTTGTAAGTGCTGGGATTAAAGGTTTGCACCACCACGTCCATCTGGAAGACACCATTCTTAAATGAGGAAGTGCTTCCTGATCTCACTCTAGGAAGAACCTGGTATAACTTGTGCTGTGCAGGTTTCACTTCAGCAACATTTTGTTGAATGATGTGAAAAAGGAAGGAGTTCTAGCCCGGTGTGATGGTGCACGCATTTAGTCCCAGCACTTGGGAGGCAGAGGCAGGTGGATCTCCCGGAGTTCAAGGCCAGCCTGGTCTATATAGTGAGTTCCAAGCCAGCTGAGGCTACAGGGAGATCCTGTTCCAAAAAAACCAAAAAAAAAAAAAAAAATGGATTTCTAGAAACATCTAGCGTTTTATATAAAAAATATTAAGGCTTGGGCCTGAAATTAAATTCTGTGAGGTTATTTGAGAAGACTTTTTTTTTTTTTTTTTTTTTTTTTTTTTTTTTCTGTGACTGGCCTCAAACTCACAAAGATCCACTTGACTCTGCCTCCCAAATGCTGGGATTAAAGGTATGCACCACTGTGCCCAGCTTACTTAGCCTTTCTTTATCCAAATTCTTTAGTAATTTTTTTCTGCTTGGAATTTTTATTCCAAAATGGATAGAATGACAAGACAACCACAGACTTTGAGAAAATACTGTTACCCAAACTATACAAAGAATTGTTAGAAATGAAACAATAGCTGAGCTTGATGGGAATTCACCTTTAATCCCAGGACTCTGGAGGCAGAGACAGGTAGATCTGAGTTCAAGGCCATCCTGGTCTACATAGGGAGTTCCAGGCCATCTGAGGCTACAAGGAGACCCTGTCTCAAAAAGACCAAAAAATAAACAAAAAGCCCAATAATAATACTAATATTAAATAATAAATATAGTCAAATTACTAAAAGGGAGAAAAAGATTATGAAATACTATTTGCCAAACTAGACAACTTAGATCAAATGAGCGCACTCCCATAGATAATTACTTCAGAGCCAAGTGTTCTCCCCAGTTGCCTTTTTGTCTATAACCCAATCAGGCACTATTGGGTGATTCACAGCCAAGGCCGCAAGAGATCTTCCAAGCCCTGGCTGGAAGCATAGGGCACTGACACTTGGGTCCTTGGATCTGATATTGGGGTGAAGGGGACCTTCACCTTTCCTCTGATCCTCTTAAATTTGCTAAGCCATATCAAAATAGAGAAGAAAAAAAAATCTCCCCAAAGTTCCAGAAAAATAGATCGCTAACCCAACAGCTTGGACAACAGCTGTGAATGAACTCTTGGCCAAACCTAACAAAGTCTGGAGTTGATGGATAAGGAGTCTTGGCTGCCCTGCTTATCCCCTTGCCTGCCCAGCCAACACAGACCATCCAGGGGACTGTGGCTTTCTGAGTCCCCAGCCCCACCCTCCACACCATCATGGCAGGAATCTCATTTCTTTGGCTTCTTCTGCAAGGCTGTTCCCTCACTTCTCCTATGGGAAATCTTCCTGCATGTCATTGGGAAGAGCAGTGACTATGTCAGTTTCTTGTGCTCAGTTCCCTTAAATATTGCCCAACATCAAACTTTAGGGAGCTGCTGACCTGTTCACCCAACAACTATAGACAATCTGTTATGTGCAAGATGTTACAGGATTCAGGTACATACTGAAATTTCTTGTAATCAAGGTAGGTTAAGGTCCAGTAAAGCTAGGGACAGAAATGAAATACTTTGGGACATGTGCAATGGCTCGGAGGGAAAAAGTGCCTGCTGCCCAGCCTGACAACTTGAATTTGATTCCCAAGACTTACATGGTAGAAGGAGAGAACCAACTCCCACAAGTTGTCCTTTGACCTCAGTGCACATGTGCACATGCCTGTGCACAAAATAAATAAATGTGGAAAAAATGTTTAAAAACCTTTTATTAAATGAAATTCATTTTCATTTGAAGGGAAAAATCCTAATACAGTAAGTCAACTAATTTTGTAGATCACAACCCAATCATAGTCATGAAGTCAATTTTAGTGGACTTGTCACTGTTATTTGAAATGGAGCTCTATCATAAATTTTCAGTGTATTGACCATATTATGGGTATTTTAGGTTTGTGTTTGTGTGTT